TTGACGTTGTGTGGATTTCAATCCTAAGATTGTAGCGTCTGCCTCGCTCCCTCCTCCTACTCCTCCTCCTCCTCCTCCTCCTCCTCCTCCTCCTCCTCGTCCTCCTCCTACTCCTCCTTCCGTAGCCATTTTGGCTCAAGCCGCTGTTTTTTTTTTCGAAGCCCAGAAGCCACACTCGCGATGTCTGTCGCTTCCATATGTTCCACTCCTCTCTCTACGAGTGATGGTGGCCTGTGTGCAGGTGTTCTGCCAGCTCGTCGTGACGATGTCTGAGGCATCGAGTTACCCAATCACCTGAGCATTCACGCTGGTGCGTTGCGCATCTTCAACTCGGTCTGCAACTCCCTCAGACATCGTCTGTATCGTTCACCCTGCCCGTCCAGAGCTCTCTGGGCGCTCGTGCGGCCCGTTCCTGACGCAGCTTCTCGCCAAAGGGTGCAGCCTCTAGAGGGACAGCTGGCGACCACCTGGGCGCAAACCGAGACGCAGATGTGCTCTGGTGGATGCAATCCGCTCTGATATGCAAGAGTTGCTGCAGAGGGAGTTCGGTGCGCAGCAGGCCGCTGTGAACAAGCAGTTGGAGGATTCTCTCATCCACCTGAAGAGCGAGGCGAACTCCACGCTCGACACCCTAGCGGATACGGATGGCTGTCTTCGGCAGTCAGATGCGTTACAGTCAGGGGAGTTTCAACAGCAAGACCTGCTTCCACTGCCACTCGTTGTTCTATAGCGCGCTGTTTCTCTGCAGCCAGGTGCTCTCCATCAGCCTGATAGTGTCCGCCAACAGCCAGACGGTCTACTGACAGGTGGCCCAGCGCGAGTTCTTCAGCAGGCAGATGGTGTTCATCAGCCTGGTGGTCACCCTCTGCCAGGTTTATGGGGGCAGCGGAAGCTCTGCGAAGGGTCTGCTGCCCCCTCCAAACAGAAGTCCGGAGGTGGTGGAAGAGGAAGTGGTCTTCCCATGCAGCCAGGTGCTCTTAAACTTCCATGTTGTGCGCTTCCACAGCCAGGGATCTTCGGCCGCCAGGTGGTGGTCCACAGCTGCCAGATGGGGGTCTCCAGCAGGATCTTCTTTCAGCCTGGTGTTCTACAACAGCCAGCAGCCCTTCCTCAGCCAGATGGTGTCCTTCAACGTCAACCAGACGGTGCACTTCATAGGTCAGGCGCGCTTCAACAGCCAGGTGGTCTCCTTCGGTCAGATGGTCGTCTTCAGCAGCCAGGTGCCCTTCAACTTCCAGATCATGCGCTTCCACAGCCAGGTGACATTCGGCCGCCAAGTGTTGGTCCACAGCAGACCCAATGGATGTCTCCAGCAGGTCCTACAACAGCCAGCCAGATGGTCTTCAACAGCCAGGTAGTCTTCTTCAGACAGGTGTTCTTCAATAGCCAGGTGGTCAACAGCCAGGTGCTCATCTTCAACCAGGTGGTGTTCTTGACGCTTGCCCGCTTCGGGCGGAAGCTCCGCTACTCCGCTTTCCCGCGACCCATACGCTGAGTCTTGAGGCGGCCGTGGCCCGCCGGGATGGCACTGCTGCTACGCTGGTCGCTGCAGGGTTTCTGATCGAGGCCCAGAATGACACCGTCGCCTTCCTCGCGCAGCAGTTCGCGTACGAGCTGTTGCCCACCGTGGTGGAAGATCTTCCCGTGCAAGTTCGCAGGATGGGGGAGACGCTCAATACCTTGGCGGCGCTGCCGTCTTCCGGGCCGACTTCAAGCCGTACCACGCTCGCTCCTACGTGGGAGGGGGGGGGCGTCCTCTCATGGTGCTGCCGTCTCTGACCCTGACTCGCCTGAAGTCGACGCTTTAGCGCGCTGCCAGCGCACTATTGCCGACATGCGTTCCCGAGCAGCGGCACCTTTTACAGTTGCTGCTCGCCTGAACGAGCTGAAGCACAATGGGCTGGTTCTTCAGATTATTCGCGTCCCTGCAGGCTCCAACGAACGCCACTGCAGCATCACTGGGATCTTCACCCAGCACGCTGGTGCCTCCGACATGGCGGCGGTATCCGAGCCGTACTTGGTGTCAAAGTGGCAGATCCGTAACTTCTCCGACCTCGTGGACGCTTCCGTTAGGCATCGCCACGTGCTTTAAAGCTCAGCGCATCACCCACCTGCGGCCTCAAGGCAACGAATCTGCCCTGCGGCGGCTCGCTGAGAGGCTGGCTTCGCTTTGGCTGGTGCTGGCGTTTTCTTTATCTTCCGATTTGCGCTTGCGGGAGGTCGCTCGTGGCAATAGAGTCCTCATCTCGTCTGTTCGTGGTCTGGATTTGTTGAAAGCTGTTGGCGTCGATGGCGTGCGGGCTTGTCGCAATTCGACGATTGTGTTCTACGAGTTGGAGGTCAGTGCGGTGGCGAAGTCTTTCAATGTGGTTGGGGAAGTTGCCTTTGAGTCTGGGGAGGCGCTTGCTTCTGACATGGTGATGGACCTAGCCGCATCGACGCCTTGGTCATGCATCTTAAGGACGATCGCATGGCTGGCAAGTCGCAGGAACGAGGGACGAATACATCACACTCATATCAAATGATGCTCGAAGGCAGGATTATTATGTCCATGATCGCGGATTTGGGATACCCTTTAACACGCATGGTGCTGCGATGGCGCAGCAAAGGATGGCTACGAGTGTCCTGACCCATGTTTCGTTTACAACGCGGAGTGTCAAACACAATGACCGTTTCGAGCCCGAGTTCTTCAAGTCCGAGACCCGACGCTGGCCCAATATGAGCTCTTTCACTGCGGGAAGCGAGTCGCTGAACGATTTCCTCATGGATTGAGGTCTGCCCGCTTTCCTCTCCCTCTCCGCCCTTATCCCTTCTTTTTGCCCTTCCTCTGCGCCCGCTTGCTTTCTCCCTCGCTTGTGATGCAGTATGGTTCATTCAATGCTGGACGCGCGTGCTTGGGCAAGGATGCGTTCGAGGACGTTCGAGCCAGTGTGGCGGGGGCGGGGACCTTCTCATTGGCGTGGGCTCCTCCTCCTCCTCCTCCTCCTCCTCCTATTCCTCGTCCTCCTCCTCCTCCTCCTCCTCCTCCTCCTCCTCCTCCTATTCCTCGTCCTCCTCCCTGTGCTCTCCCGCCCCCCCCAACCCGCGCGCGCGCGGGGGAAGGGGGCGGGGTCGGTGGGGGCCGCGCGTCCAGGAGTGACGTGGCCTGCCCACGGCGGGGCAGACCTCCCGCACCCTTCGGCGCCGGGCCCCGGGCAGCACGCGCCGCCTCGGCACAGCTGCGGCGCGGCTCGAGGACGAGGAGGAGGAGGCGGCGCACCAGGACAGCCGCTCTCGCCCTCGCCCCGCGGCGGTCATGTTGTGCTGCGCTGTGCTGCGTTGTGTTGTGCTGTGTTGGGTGTCGTGTGTCGTGTGTCGTGTGTCGTGTGTCGTGCGTTGTGCGTTGTGCGTTGTGCGTGGTGTGTGTGGTGTGTGTGGTGTGTGTGTGTGTGTTGTGCGTGTGTGTGTGTGTGCCTGTGTGTGTGTGTTCGTGTGTGTGTGTGTGTGTGTTCGAGTGTGTGTGTGTGTGTGTGTTGTGTTCGTGTGTGTGAGTGTTGTGTGTTGTGCGTGTGTGTGTGTGTGTGTGTGTGTGTGTGTGTGTGTGTGCGCGTGCGTGTTCGTGTGTGTGTGTGTGTGTATGTGCGTGCGTGTGTGCGTGTGTGTGTGTGTGTATGTGTGTGTGTGTGCGTGTGCGTGTTTCGCTCGGGAGCCACGCCTCTTGATTTGCCTGCTTCGAACGCTTTCGCAGCTGACGTCGCTGTTCGTGTTCGCGAGTGTTGCTCCGTGTTAGGGGCCAGTGCGTCACGGATGCTGTTCGGTTAGGGGGGAGGGGAAGGGAGAGGGGGGAGGGAAGGAGGAAGGTGAAATTGTTTCGAGCGAGTCAGACTCGTGCCCGCACGCGTGGCCCCGGAGGCCACCTGCTCTAAGGTGGGGCGGGGACCGGGGCCGCGGTTGATGGAGGGGAGCGAGGGAGGAGGGAGAGGAAGGGAGAGGCTGAGGGAGGCTGGGACGGAGGGAGGGGCGAGTGGAGAAGGGTGGAGTGGAGTGGAGTGGAGGGCTGGGCCGAAGTGGAGGGAGGGGAGGGGCGGCCAGGAACGGCGGGGACGCAGGACGGCAGTGTTGGGGGCGGGCGGTCCGCGTCCGCCGCGTTCGCCTCGCGTGTCCCTGCGGCGCCCGGAGAAGGCCCTGGGGCTTCGCGACGGGCGCGACGCAAGCAGGCTTGTCGGAGACAACGTCAGGGGGATAGGGTCAGGGGGGCTGGAGCCGGGTGGGTGTTTGAGGTGGCCCAGCATTGGTTCCAGCCAGCAGAAAGGGAGTGCAGGTTCGAGTCGCTGGGTTCTAGAAGCTATTTTGACTTTTTTCCGGCCTCCTGGGGCTGTTTTCGGCCCCCGGGGCCGTCAAAAACGAACCCGTCAAAAACGGATCCGGGAGGGGGTCCATGGACAGATTTCGAGCGCCTTCTCTCAGGGCCCAACCAGCTCAGACCCCAGGCCGCCCCCGACAGGGCTGCAAGCGTCGACCATCAATCGCTCATTGATCACCGATAGGGGCCTGAAAGCCTACCCCGCTCAGGAACATGCGGTTTGTCTATCGGGGGCGCATCGCAGATCTATCGGCGATGTAACGCCGATTCCCGGTCGATGTTTCTCCCGTGAGCTGGTCCCCCCTATCGTTGCCCCTCAGCTTGCGGTGTCCCCACCCTCCAAGGAGACGAGTCGCGAGCTGCCCAGAATGAATACGTTCTGAGGAAGCGATCGCGACGCCGAAATCGGCAGTAGGACCGCCGTGGATGTGTTGGTCCGCAGCGGCCGGTGTCCAAAATACAGTACGAGGGGGAGGCGGCGGGGATGGGGAGAGGACTGGGGGAGAAGGCTACGTTGGATGCAGAGGTGGATGAGCAAATAGGGGTGGAAGAGGAGTAGGAGGAGCAGGAGGAAGATGAGGAGGAGGATAATCATCTGGATCAGGCTGCTGATGATGATAATTATGATGGTGACGTCGGTGATGATGGTAATGATGGTGATGATAATGATGATGATAATGATGATGATGATGATGATGATGATGATGATGATGATGATGATGATGATGATGATGATGATGATGATGATGACTATGACGATTCCGATGCCGATGACAATGGCGATGATGATGACGATCATGATTATGATGATGCTGATGATGATGGTGATTCTGATTATTATTTATTATTATGATTATGATGACGATGGTGATGTTGTTGATGATGAAGGTTATGGTGATGCTGATGATGATGATGATGATGATGATTTTGATGATGATGATGATGATGGTGCTGATGATGACGCTGGCGTTGATGATGCTGACGTTGATGATGATGCTGAGTATGATGCTGCTGATGATGATGGATGACGATTACGGTGATGATGACGATGATGATGATGATGCTGCTGCTGATGATGATTGTGATGCTGCTGATTATGATGCTGGTGACAGTGATGCTGCTGATGCTGATGACAATGACGATGCTGATGATGCTGATGATTTGGACGATGATGATGCTGATGATGATGGTGGTGATGATGATGATGCTGATGATGATGAAGCAGACGATGATGGCGATCATGATGATGCTGATCCTACTGATGGTGATGGTGATGGTGATGCTGGTGATGCTGACGGCAATGCTACTGATGATGTTGATGGTGATGATGATGATGATGAAGATCGTGATGGCAATGATGATGTTGATGCTGATGCTGATGATGTTGTTGTTGATGGCGATGCCGATGCTGATGACAATGACGATGATGACGATGCTGCTGATGATGCTGATGATGATGGTGGTGGTGGTGATGATGATGCTGACGGCGATGACGATGATGACGATGATGACGCCGGTGTCGATAATGATGATGATGCTGATGATGTTGATGATGAGGATTATGCTGCTGTTGATGCTGAATATGATGATGGTGATGGTGAATATAATGATGATGCTGATGATGACGTTGATGAAAGAAAGGATGGCGACGACGATCATGATGTTGTTGAAGATCACGTGTACGATGACGATGAGGCTGATGATTATGATACTGATGTTGATGTTGAGGTTGTTGAAGACGATGGTGATGATGAGGATGCTGATGGTGATGGTGATGCTGATGATGATGCTGATACTGCTGATGATGATGATGATGAGGATGATGCTGATGCTGATGCTGCTGATGCTGCTGCTGATGATGATGATGATGATGATGATGGCATCCGTATCTCATCAGCGGGAATGTTGATCCGAGTGCACGGAAGACAGTCGAGGCGTTCAAGCGGCTGTGCGATTAGTTGGGCTGCCACAACACATGAACACACGAGCTGCATATTGCGAGCTATGTGTTCGCCATCTTGTTCGGTAAGGGCATGTGGGCAGCAGCAGAAAGCGAACGCGAGAGCAGGCACTGCAGCCTGTGCAGCTGCCGCTGCCGCGCACGCAGCCGCCAGAGCGGGGAATCCTCGCCTGTGTGTGTCGCTGCCACTCGTGCGGTCCTGCTGCACGTGGGGATGGCTCGGGTGAGAGCACGTGCTGCTGTTGCCACGAAAGTCGTAGCCAACAGTCTCGCCATTACCAGCGCAAATGTCCCTCAGGGTTGATGCCGAAGGGCAGCTTCGGGAGCCCAAGTACATGGAGGTCATGGAGTCAGAAGCCAAGGGGCGTTTTCGATACGATCTGCGTAGCGCTTCTCGAATCTTGCACGCCCAGGTGCCCTGCTCGTTGGAGTATGCATCGCAGTAGGACTTCGGTTTAAGAGCTAATCGTGTTCGTATGCCGCCCCTGCATGCCTCTCTCGTCTCTACTGCCTCTTTTACCGACCTGTTTTGCTGCGGGCGAACCGATTATCTTCGCATCAGCATGTGACGGTGAGTGGGGGACGCGGGAGCAGGGAAGCAGCCATCTCGTCTTGGCGCGGCGGCGACCGCGCGGCGATGATCCAAGGTGCGTGCAGGGACTGCCGAGGTGCTGCCTTACGACGATAGCTCCTTCGACGCCGTCGTGCTGTCGCAGGCCTCCTCTGACAGCTGAAAGTCTATGCAGCGAAGTTCTCCTCGTCGCTCTCCTCCTCTTGAACCTCTGCCTCTGCACACCTCGCCATCTTGGCTCAAGAGTGCGTGCCGCAGGATCGGCACGGCTTCCCTCCGCTGTGCATGCTGCGCATGCGATCCTTCATGGCTGTCTGCTACAGAGGCCTCCTTGACCTGCCCCTCTGGACCCAGCCCAGCGCCGTTCTGTCACCGCTGCCAGCGGGCTTTGGCCGCACCCTGGTCGCAGCGGCGACGCGCAGCTCCCGTGCTTCCCCCAGAGTGCCGCGGACCTTGGCGTCCGCGCCGGCCGCTTTCCCGGCCAGGACTTGCGTGGCGCCCGTCCTGCAATTAGTGGGCCCGCCGGTGGCGGGTCGCCGCCAGGGCGTGGCGGCGTCAGCGCTCTGACAGGGGGCCCCTCGGAGCGGCGTCGCGCACGTTTGACACGCGAGTGTTGACGCCGCGCACGCTGGCCACGGCAAGAGGCGAGGAGGTCCACGCTGCCCTGGTTCGCCGCCTCAGCCCGTCTCGCGCCGTCGCGCGGCGCGCGCTGCGCAGAAGACGGGCCATCTCGATGGTTCGGGCCGCGCGCGCCCGCAGCGTCTTCGAGCTCGCGGGTAGGGGTGCGAATCTCGTGGACGTACGCTGAGGGCGACGCCCTCTAGGATGGGTGAGCTGCGCTGCGCGGAATTGCCATGGAGTGGCCACGCGTCAAGCCCTCGGGTGCAGCCTTGCAGGCCCCTCCTCTGGGTCGTGCTTGAGCTCGGGGTCCTCGCGCCCAGGGGCTGGGACGAGGGCTGTGCAGTGGCACCCAACGGGAGGAAGCAGGTGGCCGAGCATCAGGGCGGAGGGCGTGTCGATCCAGATGGTGTTTGTGACGGTGTTGAGGCTTGACAGGGAGGAGATGTCAGTACTGGCGCACGCAATTTTGTGAGCGTGCTTCCCTTTGAGATAATGTTTTGTGGAAGCGTAATGCCCACCCCCGCGGCGGGCTGATGCAGTTAGTCATTCAGCGAGGGATGAGGCTAGACTGTGTCGGCGCGTTGGACTACAAGTTGACGTGCTGGAGATGCGGATGGTGCGGCTGCAGGCAGCGCCAACCGCGTCGCCGACGCAAGAGCAGGAGCTGTTGACGCCAAGCTGGAGCAGCAGCTGGAGAAAGTGGATGGACCGGATGGCCGCGGTGCTGTGCGGAGCATGTGGTCTCGCGGAGAGCGACGCGGCGCGGATCGATGCGGATTGATTTCGTCATCATCTTGGGAGGGCAGATCGGGTCGCAGGATGGATGCGGCAAATCGGGACGCCGTTCTGCTGTGCGGACGCCCTCGAGTCACAGCGCCAAGACTTGGTGCCAGAGCGCGGTTCTTGATGCCAGCGGCGAGTTATACGAGTCGGGCCCCCGTGCTGTCGGCAGGACCTCTTGGAGGTTCAGGTGCTGGTGCCGGGCCTGGCGCTGCTGGCCCTGTCGCCCCCCTGCTGCCTTCCCTTCCCCTGGCTGCTGCTGCTCATCCTCATTCTCCCCCTTGCCCCCTGCACCTCCTGGGGCGGTCCCTTTCATCATCTTCCCTCCCTCCCCCCCTCATTCCCTCCTCCTGCCTCCACCCACGGGTTCGAGGGCAGATGGTGGCAGTCTTTTGCTTGATCCAGAGGTGTCCCCAGTCATGCCTGGCTTGCTTCTTGCCTGGCTCGGTCTGATGTGGTCTGCCTTCCTGGTTCTTTCCCCCGACCGGTGCTTGAATTGAGGGGTCCTCACGTCTTTCTCTGAGGACGTGGGTGGGCTGGTTCCCCCCGTTCTTGCTTGTTTGCCCGGAGCCCGCCCGTGGGCGCCGCGTGGGCCCCTCGCGCGCTGGCTGGGTTCCCCGGACTGCTCCTCCGGTGCCCGCGCGGGGGCGCCTCGTGTGCCCCGCGTGCGCTGCCCGGGTCTCGTGGCACCACGCGCGGCGTTCCAGCCAGGGCCTCTCGCCTTCGAGAGTCGAAGGGAGCTGCCATCTCTTCCTCGGCGGAAGGCGGCGGAAGGCGGCGGAAGGCGGCGGAGGTGAGGCGAGGCCGCCTCAGCCTGCGGTAGCCGGGGGAAGCTCGGTGGAGGCTCGGCGGAGGCCGGCGGAAGTAAGACATGCGCCCCCCACGAGATAGCATCATTGTTTGGCTTCAGAGTTTCTGGAACCTGCCACGTGGATTTCACCCCTTGTGGGTCTCACCGCGTCGATTCCACTTTCCAGGTAAGAAATAGAGCCTACCCCCCGCCGGGGCCGGGGTCATCCACCCGCCTCCGCGCATTGCTTTCCTGTGCCTGTTCTGCATGATCGCCCAAACGAATCTCCACCAAGCCGGTATTGACGCCCCTCATCCTTGTCAAATCATGCAATGCGTTGTGCACGCATTGATATGACAACTGCGCGTTGTGAAAACCCCAATCAGATAACACAAGGTGGACCACATGCGTGCGCCCCAGCGCGAGCATACTTCAAATTCACACGGGAAGCATGCTGCTTGTTTGTTGTTTGCCTTGTTATTTGTAATCTTGCTAAGGCATATCAACAACTACCAAATCAATTGCGCCTTGAACGCGAACATTTGCCGGACTCCTGCGTGCGCGCAATCGCTGAAATCATAAGAAGACAATGTACATGTATGTGGGCCACACGCGCGCGCGTGTCGAACACGTTCAACAACCATCGCGCGCCCACCAAGCAATCTTGCCATCTGATACAACGAATCCCATACGCGCGCATCTCTGCGCGCGCACGTCGACACGTCGAGGTCCTTCCGAACTTTTGATATCGCTTCAACACGGCTGCACGTCCCTGCGCCATTTGAGATTCGCGGACAAGTTCCGATGGGCAGTTGCACACCCTGCTTACGTCAATCTTCCCAGCAGGTTGTGGATGCAACAGCAGGACGTCTGCACGAGCGTTCGAGGTGGTCACGCGCTGACGTGGGCAACACTCATCGCCCTCCCTCGTCGTCGTCGTCGTCGTCGTCGTCCGTCGTCAGCGTCTCGTCGTCGTCCCTCCTATTTCGTCGCCGCCGTCGTCGTCGTCGTCGTCGTCTTCCCTCCTCCCTCGTCGTTGCCGTCGTCGGCGTCGCCGTCCTCCCTCCTTCTTCGTCGTTCGCGTCGTCGCTGTCCTCCCTCCTCCCTCGTCGCTGTCGTCGTTGTCGCCGTCGTCGTCCTCCCTCCTCCCTCGTCCTCGTCGTCTTCGTTGGCGATATCGTCGTCGTCTTCGTCGTCGTGGGCGGCGTCGTCGGCGTCGTCGTCGTCGTCGGCGTTGTCATCGTCGTCGTCGTCGTCGGCGTCGGCGTCGTCGCCGCCGCCGTCGTCGTCGTTGTCGTCGTCGTCGTCGTCGGTGTCGTCGTCGTTGTCGTCGTCGTCGTTGGAGACGTCGTCGGTGTCGTCGTAGTCGTCGTCGTCGTCGTCGTCTTCGTCGTTGTCGTTGTCGCTGTCGTCGTCGGCGTCGGTGTTGTTGTCAAGTGCCATTTGGTACCTACCGTCACGGTCTTAAGAGGTATTGCGACCAAGTTGCGGGTGGGAGGGTGGGATGTTTGCACGAGCAGTGGAGAGGACAGCTTCAAGTTGAGCAAGTGAATGATTGCATCCCATAGTGTGCACCACGTTGCATCCCATAGTGTCCACCATGTAGAGTGCACATCGAGAGTGCAATCGTCCATTGTGCTGGCAATGGTACTTTCTTCTGATCTTGCGCGGCGCAACTTGAGAGTGCCAGTCAGGACGAGCGAGGATTAGTCATGACTGTGTCGGCACACAGCAGGGGTAAGTACGACGCAGAAGGCTCCCGTACCCTGCCACGCGGGCAGCGCACCCTGGTGTCCTCCGCCGACAGCGCTGCTCGCGTGCCCTTCGAAGAATGAGCACTTGGGGGAGAGGGCCTCGAGCCGCCAAACGATATGCTCGATGAGATTTTACATGTTGTGCTTCGCTGGCGGAGGCTGTCCGTTGCTTGGAAACGCCGCTGCAGAAAGCTCACCGAGCGAATGTGTACGCCCACCCTTGCCTGGGCCGGAACGCGTGACATTGTGCGAGGGCGAGGGGTCGCCCGCGGGTGGCGATGGGCCCACATGGCCTCCCCCCCCGCGGCGGGGAAGAGCGGGGAGAGGGAGGGCTGGGACGGAGGGCAAACGGAGATGAGCAGGGAGGAGGAGGAGGGCAGACCGACCGTTTCGGCGAGGAAGAGAGCTGTCGCCTTTTCAACCTGGCTCGAGTGTTAGCTCTGTCCCGACAGAACTGCTGCTGGGCACTCTCTTGGAGAGTGGGCCTTGGGCGCTGTGAGCGCCAGAGAGCTGTGAGCAGGATGGCACCAGGTGATGTATGCTACTACTACTGCTCGTCCATCCAACCAGCCTCCATTGCCAACTTTGTGCGCATAGGTGAGCAGGCTTCGCCCACCTTGCTGCCACGCGATTCTTATATCGAACCAGCCTGCTCCGAGGGCACTGCCAATGATAGCCTGCCATCTTTGGACAGTTTCCTTCATGATCCCTGCCAGACCAGAACTATGTAGGTGCCTGTGGTATTGGCGACGGATCCCCAAAAAAGTTCCCTATGTGGCTGGAAATAGGTCCTTGGAGGAGGCCTCAGAATTCTCATTAGCAGACTTCTGAATCACGGCATGGTGAATGCCATGACCATGAAACCATGATATCATCCTGGATTTTGTTTCGTTGAATGAAACCGGGCCCAATGCTTCAGCTCTTAGCCGTTGGACTTCTGTCCGTGGCCGGCTTCTGTGAATCTGCGGGGCATGGAAAGGAAACGAGTTCAGCGGCATTTTGTGGTCAGATGGGTTCAAGTACGGCTTCACATCTGAGATGCCCGTTGCCCTGAAGTGCAGGCCGTTGAAGAATGTCGCATCTAGCATTTCCATGTGTTTTCAGCTTGCCATGTCAGCTTCTACGATGGAAGTATCCTTCACATCGTGTATGACTTGCTGCATGCATCGTGTGATGAATCCGAAAGCCCCAGTTTTGATCAACAGTAAGTCATCGCGCTTTCGGGTGCACTCCAAAATGCCGAAGTGTTGTGACATGACCACTGGGATGATTGCGAAATATCTTTCCACAAGGTGGCACAAGTATACATCACATAACTATCCAGAGTGTCGCTGTCCAATGCCAGATCCCCAATTGACTCTCCAGGCATCGTTCGGGAAGAGATCGCAATGAACATGTTGGTGGTACAACAGGAACAGCAGGGTGTCCTTCAATACCGCGCGCTTACGTTCCAGGAACGTCGCTCCAATTGTGCCTACGATCTTATGGTGGTCGCCATTGAAGTACATATCCTTCATGTCAAGCTTTATGAAGCCAAACTGTCCCCCACAGCTCCTGGAAGTGATCTTTTGTGCAGGCTCGTCTGTTGTCCGAAGAGCTTCTGGAGCGCCGAACTTAAGCCCGAACGTGCATGCATGGAGGAATATTTTGGATGAGCCTGGCAGAGATTCGCCCGACTGGCTTGTGAGGTTTGACAGTGCAGAGTGCCGCCGATGGTTATCCTTGGCAAATCATCAGCCATATCCGCAAAAAGGCGTCGAGGCCCTTCTCATCCAATACACGGGCAACTTCCCTGATGTTGCGGAGGTATGCCGTCATTATGGTGGTTAAGGTCAGGGATGTAGTGGCCATCACCACATTTCTCTTGGAGAAGCTCCTTCATGTCACGCAGCTGAATAAGGACAAATCCTCCATCCTTATCTGTGGGGCCTGTGACGGAGGGGCTTCGAGCGAGCCATGCTGCAGCCCAATGAACTGCAGCATTCGTGCTTACACACCATCGTCTCCGACCGTGCTGCGCTTTGGTCGCATTGTGGGGAGTCGTCGTAACACTGTGGGCAAGGTCATTGCATAGGGCGTCGATCTCCGCCCAAACTACGTTGATGCAGTTGCTGACTCTGTTATCCCCTACCCGGGAGAACCACCAAGGTCCGCGTCCCTCACCAAGCGGTGCGCGCCAGGGGATGCCACTGCATTGGTCTTTAACCGCCGCACTGTGCCGAGACAGCCTGGGAAACGTCCCTCTGTGAAACAAGTTTTTGCGACTGTAGCCGCCAAGGAGCAACAACATTGGCCACGGAAAGCTACTTGGCGATGGACTTTCCATTCGGCGTCCGCATTTGTAGACATAGACATGGTGTGCTGAGATATCGGGCCTCATGATCTTGCTCAGCTCCTCTGCGTCCTGTCCTTCGCAAAGATCCCAGAAGCCTTTGAGGACTTGCGCTTCCGTTCCTTTTCAAGTTTTTCCACTTTTAGGTACCTGCCGTGATCCTTTTTGCCTTTGCCCTCTGGTTGGCTTTTACTCTTGCCCTTGCTTTTGCCATTTCCCTTGTTCATGTCTTGGCGTCCCGGGCTCCCACCCGTTTCCCAGCCGGATCTTCTTTGGAGTACGTTTTGTCTTTGTCCATTATCTCTCTGTGATTGCGTTGTCATTGGCCGAGTTGAACTCGGCGATCTCGTACTTCGACGTGTTGGGGTCCTGGTCTGTACTTTTTCCTTTGCCTTTACCTTTACCTTTTCCTTTCCCTTTCGGGAGCTCTTCTTTGCACACTTGCCGCATTTGTTCTTTGACCACCTCCTGCGGATCTAAAGATGCAGCTGTCGTCAACACTCCCAGCGTGGGTCGGGGGCCAGGCGGCTCTGGCCTCACGCTTTGGGGGTACCTCCCCTGATCCGTGACAGCGGGCGCCCGAGGAGGAGGTAGAAGAGAGGGGTAGGAGGAGGAGGAGGAGGAGGAGGAGGAGGAGGAGCAGGAGGAGGAGGAGGAGGAGGAGGAGGAGGGATGAGGAGGATGAGGAGGAGGAGGAGGGATGAGCAGGAGGAGGAGGAGGAGGTGGAGGAGGAGGAGGTGCGGGAGGAGGAGGGAGGAGCAGGAGGAGAAGGAGGATGAGGAATAGGAGGAGGAGGAGCAGGAGGAGGAGGGATGATGATGATGCTGCTGATGATGTTGATGATGATGATGATGACGATGATGATGATGATGATGATGATGATGATGATGATGATGATGATGATGATGATGATGATGATGATGATGATGATGATGAGAAGGAGGAGGAGGAGGAGGAAGAGGAGGAGGAGGAGGAGGAGGAGGAGGAGGAGGAGGAGGAGGAGGAGGAGGGGGAGAGGGCCATGGGGGGCCCGAACCGCGGCTCCCCCTCCCCCGCCTGAGGGCCGCCGCGCGGGCCGGCCCCAGGCGCGTGCGTTCGCAGGATCTGCCGACCGCGCCGCGATGGAGCATCGTCATGTGGCACGGTCCTGGCAGGACGCTCATGGTGCCTCGATATGCACGCAGAGCGTGGAGCCGGTGCAGCAGCAACAGCAGACGAACCCCTGGGCTCAACAGGTCCGCCTCGCGCGGAAAGCGCGCCAGGTGGCGGCGCAGCGGGCAGCGAGCCATCAATTGCAGTCTCAGCGTGAACTCATTTCCGAGCTGCAGTCCCAATTGCGAGCGTGGCATCAGTGGTGGCAACAAGCCCATCACGAGCCTTTTTGGGGACAGCGCTGGACGCCAGACGCCATCAGCTACAGCGCCGAAGCGAGCGACCCCCGCGGGAAAGGAGGGTCGTCGCCCCAGACGGCTGGCGGAAGCGAGGGCAGTGGCAGCAGCTGTCAAGAATCAAGAATCAATGGCATGGCTCAAACAACAATTTGGCCCAAACGCAACATCTTGGCTCAGCAGCTTTGCCCCAGCAGGTTTCCAGAAGGCGACGACACAAGCCATTCTGAGGACAGAGCTCAGACGCCATCGCAGACACATCATTGCGAGAAGCGTGCGGCGAGGTCGAGGCCCGTAACCACTAACCTAGGCCTGGACCCAGCCATGTGCGAGTCGAAGGAAGGCGAAGATGGAGCCCGACGCGATCATCTACGGTTCAGGGATCAGGGCAAGCTGGAGGCGACCGCGGGAACTGGCGTTAGGAAAGGAGCACAGTCGTCATCAGCTGCAGGCGCGGCCGCCCGTGCGCGAGACGTGACGCCAGCACCAACGCCAGTGAAACTGGAGGGCGATGACACAAGCCATCGAGAGGACAGAGCCCAGACGCCATCGCAGACACATCATTGCGAGAAGCAGGCGGCGTGGCTGGAGCCCCATCACTACTAACCTAGCCGAGGACCCAGACCGCGCGCGAGACGAAGGAAGGCGAATATGGAGCCCGATGTGATCATCTACGATTCAGGGGTCAGGGCAAAGGCGAAGCGAGGGGGACGGCAGCTGCAGCGACAGCGGGCAAGAGCGGCAACATCACTACGCCATCAGTTACATTCGCTGCGCGAGAGTATACCATACCAGTACACATCGAGGGCTATGATGACAACTTCCCGTGGGAGCACTATGTCAGCGGCGACGACAGGCGCTTCATAAACTTCGCGCAGGACAATACAGGAGTGACCCTGCAGCTGATCAGTTACCCGCGCGGAGGCTGCGAGCTGGTCACCGCAGCGACGGATGGCACAAGCAACGCCGAATTCGAAAGGGCCCTAGAGATGTGCCGCGACCTCGTCGACCGCACCTACCAGGAGGCCGCAGGTTGGGACGGCACCTTTCGGGACGACGGGTGCAAGAGCGACCTTGAGGACAGCGGCCCAGCGAGCCAGAACGACACAGAGAGCCACACCACGGACAGCGAGTACGACGGCGAGACCACGTACACGGAGCACGACGACACCCCTGCAGGGCGAGGGGGTGGGCACTACGGCGACACCCCTGCAGGGCGAGGGGGTAGGCCCTACCGTGCAGGCCGCGGCCACCCCGGCAGGGCGAGGGGGTAGGCCCAAGGTCGTCGCGATCGCTGTCGGCACCTTCGGCTTCCTCATCACCATCGCCCCTCATCGCCATGGCCTCCCTCAGGGGTGAGCGTGCCGCCCTCCCACAGGGGGAGGGGTCTGGCGGCCCCCGAGGGGGGGCCAAGTTCGGGAATGACGAGTTCGGCGGTCACCTGGACTACGTCATCTGAGCGGAGGGGGAGGTGGAACCCCTCCGCGAGCGGCGACGTCCGTTGACGGACACAGAGCCGATACGTCCGAGGAGGAGGAGGAGCAGGAACAGGAACAGGAGGAGGAGGGAGGAGCAGGAGGAGGAGGAGCAGGAGGAGGAGGGGAGAGCAGGAGGAGGAGGAGGAGGAGCAGGAGGAGAAAGAGGATGAGGGGGTGGTCGGCAGTTCAGTGGGGGGCCTTGAGGGAGGGGGCCGCGAGGACGGGTTGCTTCAGACGATGAAGGCTCAGCTTTTGATCGCCTGAGTGTCGTTCTGCAGCGGTCGAATACGGTAGGTTCGCGTCGTGTCGACCGGCGGCAACTTCGCTGCCGGCGTCTAACGTTGGACGCTGGCAGCGACGTTGAACGATCGGACGTTTCGGAAACGGCCGACCGCTCAAGGTTGAACGATCCCCGCGGTGTCGAGAAGCAGCGCCGGAGTCGGTACGACACGAGCCTGCCGTAGCTGATCTCTACCATTGTTGATCGAGAGATCGCCCACAGCGTTCAGTTTAGTCCCTCCTCCGCGTGTGCCCGCCCGCGGGCGCTGCCGCGCCAGGTGCTGCTCTACGTGCCGGACGTCCTGGCCGCCCTGCACGAGGCTCCGCCCCCCGCCGCCGTGGGCGGCGCGCGGCTCGGCGCTCCCCGCCCAGAGGGCCAGACCCCTTCGGGTCATGAGAGAACCACGGCGGGAAGTTCTTCGCTATTTTCGGCCTCCCGATGCCCTTACCGGCCCCGGGGAGCGTCAAAAAGGGCCCGGGATGAGACACAGTTCCCTGGGACGGTCGAGACGAGACCTCCAGGGGTCGGCGCTCTGAACAGATGCCGTTTTTGTGTGGCGCCTCTTCGCCTCCTCCTCTTTCTCCTCCTCCTCCTCCTCCTCCTCCTTCTCCTCCTCCTCCTTTTCCTCCTCTTCCTCTCCCTCGGCGCAGTGTGCGCCTGTCCCACGCGCGGGGTGAGGAACAAGCGGCTTTCAATTGCAAGCGGATTTTCGCTTGTGCCGTGCTTCGCCGGACTCATCACGATGTCTTTACATTAAGTCGCCTTCGGTGTGTGGCGGCATCCGTGTTTTGGCACCAGCTGTGACGGCATCTTGTCCGCTCTCATCTTCTCTCTCAAAAGTGAGCGTTTCTCTTCCTCCCCAGCGTAACGCTCGCTACCCGGACCAAGCCCCCCGATCGTACTGGGCGGGGAGGCGTGGACCCCCACCCCACATGCTAGAGGGCGGACTGTACTCACAAGCGTGGCGTGGTGCTGAAAGGCACCATTTGGCTCATAGGCCTGTTGTGGCGCTCGCAGGCTCCCCACCTGTTGCGGCGCCGAGCTCACAGGCATGACGTGGTGCCGAAAGGCATGTTTCGGTGCTCACATGTGTGTTGTGCGTGTTGTGGCGCTTGCAGGTTATTGCGGTGTGCGTAGGTCAGGCGGACTCATTGCCAAGGTGCCCTGCTCGGAGGGCGGCGGGTCGGGGGACCGATGTCGAGTAAGAACACGTTGGCGCACGTGGGCCCCAAACAGTTATTCGTTTTACATGACGCGCAGGGCACGCGATGCAACCTGTGCTGTCCCACCGATGTCGGCACCAGTGCAAGCATTCCGCGGGGAGCGCGAGCGCCTGAATGCAAGCGTTGTTTGCGGAATTCCACGGCGCTGGGGCTTTCGACCCCATCGTTCCTGCTGTTCTTCCTGTTGCTGCTCCTCTTGCTCCTCCTGCTGCTCCTCGCCCCGCTCGGTACGGTGGAGGCGTTTGTTAAGGAGTAGTCCCAGGAGGCGCCAGACCCTGGAGGATTCCTTATTCAGTGAGGGCGGCGGTGATATCCATGGCCGATCCACGATTGGAGTTCCACTGGCTTCCAGGCTCTGGATTCCCTATCTAAGGGTTCCTTATTCAATGCCCACACCGTATTCCGTAGCCATTTTGGCTCAAGGCCATGAACCGTCCCGACGACCGCGAGTCTTTCGGGGCGACTTCTGAGCGCGAGGGAGGTTCCGCTTTGAGGCCACCTTCCTTTCCTAAGTGTGTCTGCTGCCACTGCAGCACCTTCCAGGACCTGCGGGTCAAGTCTTCTTCTGAGTCGGCGGGTCCGCCCCCGCCGTCTCCTGCCTGCTGCTTGCCCGCAGCTGAGCAGCGCGCCCGACCGTACCAGCGATGGGGCCTAAGGCCATGCCTGGCTTCGTCGTGTGCACGGGCTGCCTGTACCGCTGGAACTTCCGCTCGAACGCGAAGTGCTGGCTGTGCGGGATCGGGCTGGAGCTGGCGCCCTCGAAGCCTTCGCCCCGCGTTGGGGTCTGGGCGGACGGTGGCGGCGGCGGACCCCAACTCGCACATCGCGGCGGCGGCGGCGGAGGCCCACCGAAGAATGGAACCAAGGACGGCAAGGGCGGCAAGGGCCGCGGTGCAGCCTACCGTGGTGGCGGCGGTGCAGTCTCCCGTGGCGGCGGCGGGGGTGGCGCGGGCTGCCGTGGCGGAGGCGCCTTCCCGAGGGCCCCCTGGTCGGCCCTGCCCGAGAGCGAGCTCGACGCGCTCCTCGCCTGTGGGGACCCAGCCATCGCAGCCAGGCTGCAGGAGGCGGTCCGCGAAGCGCGGAGCTTTGTCGCGCCCGCGGTCGCCCCAGTGCCGAAGCCGCTCAAGCAACGTCTGGAGCCGGCCACGGCGAAGCGGATCAACCTCCAGCGCCAGCTGGATGAGGCGGCGGACGCGCTCGTGGCGGCGGAGGACCACCTCGCTGTATGCCGCGGCTGGCGCGACGAGGCTGCGGGCAGCCTCGCGGAGGCCAAGGAGGAGGAGAACGCCCTCCTGCGCCAGCGTGCCCAAGCGGCGGGCGTCGTGGGAGCCCAGCCCGACGGCGCGAGGCAGCTCACCTTCAACTTTGACGCGGAGTCGTTTGACAACTTCGCCGAGCTGGAGGAGGAGGCGCAGGCCGCCCTCAGGCGCCTCTGCGATGAGGGGCTCCAGATCATGCAGGGCGCGCAGGCTACGTTCGAGCGCAACTGCCAGGAGCACCAGCAGCGCATCAAGCGCCAGATCGCGGAGGAGGTGGCCAAGAAGCGCAAGCGCACCGAGGAGGGGCCTGCAGCAGCCGTGGCCCCTGGCACCCCCGTGCAGGGCGCGGGCGCCCCGCCGCAGCCTGCAGGGCAGGCGGCCGCCCCTGCTGCCCCCGCCGCCCCCGCCGCAGACGCTGCGCCTGGAGCTGGGACTCCCCCAGCGGCAGCGATGGAGAGCCGAGCGGCAGACGAGGCGGCCCGCCAGCGCGCTGCCGACCAGAAGGCCGCTGCGGCGGCCCCTCCACCTCCTGCTGGCGCTGCTGCTGGCAGCGGCCTGGCCCGCGCGTAGCACCCTGCTGCCAGGCGGCGGCCCCGACAGCGCGGCGCCGCCCGCCCCTGTTGGGGCTGAGGGGACAGAGGCGGCGGCGCCCAGCCGCTCAGAGGCGGCGGCGGCGCCGGGTGGCGGCCTGCCCGCCTACAAGGCGGCCAACGTGGCGACCGACGCCTGGGTCGAACTTCCCTTCATTGTGCCGCTGCTGCGCCAGGAACGGCGCTTCGGCGTCGTGCGCCACGACACCAAGTTCGAGGCGCTCAGCAGCAGGACAGAGCCAAGCGCTGCGGCTGGCTTGGCTGGGCCCGACCGAAGGACTGGCAGTCCTCAGCCTAGCCAGGGGCCCACATGCCATAGTGGGTACCCAATTCAAGTTGACGAGGCTACGGGCGAGGGAGTGAGACCCCCTGAGGTTCGGAGCCCCAAGGCGGCGAGCAGCCGCCCGCCTGGCGGCCCCGCGGCCGCCGCGGCAACCGAGCAGCCCGCGGCCCAGCCTCAGCCTGGGCGACCGCAGGCCAAGCCCCTCCAGCTGGCCAAGCAAATTAGGCCTACGGGACCGAAGCCAACTAGCTTCGTCACGCTGAACGTCTCGACCTGGTCAGAGAAGAAGGTGGAGATGGAGCGGATCCAGGATGGAGGAGGTCACGACGTCATCCTGGCGCAGGAGAGGCGATGCGCTTATAGCCAGAAGGCGGCCAACGCCTGCTGCTGGGCCAGGAGCAACAGCTTCAGCGCCGCCTTCGGCAGCGTCCACAGCACGGGGCAGGCGGCGCAGGCGGGCTCGGAGGGCGTCGGAGTGCTGGAGTCAACGACCCGGGGCGCGGCGGCGACCGACCACGACGGGCACCAGCACAGTGCCCGCATCCTGGCCCGAAGGGTGGCCTTCGGTGATCTCGCGGTCACGGAGGTCAGCGCCTACCTCGAGCTCCCGTTCAGGAGGCTCAAGGAGTCCGTCGAGACCGCGGAGCTCCACCTGACCGACCAGTTCGGCATCTCCGAGGGTGAGTGGTACCAGGGCAGGGCCAAAGGACCCCGCTCTGTCAAGGAGAAGCTGGCGGACCAGCAGCGCAGGAAGGCGGTCAGGAAGCTCAGCCCCCTCACCAGTTGCCGCCTCCGCCTCGGGAGGATCGCCAGACAGCTCAGAGCGGCTGCTGCGGGCTGCTCACCCCCTGTGGGGCACGTAGGCTACATGAAGCACCTGGTGCAGGTGGCCAGGAGCTTGGGGCACAAGTTCGAGCAGGCGGGCAGCACCGCGTTCGAAGACAAGAAGCTCGTCTCGCTGAAAGAGGTGACCCAGGTGCCCACTGTGCAAGGGCAGGCCTTCCTGCGGGCGATCGAAAGAGCGTTGGCGTCACACAGGGGCCTCCACGGCGACGGCGACTACCAGCAGGACGAGTTCGGCTGCTGCTTCGCCCTGCGGTACTCCTCCGCCCTCTTTGCGGAGAAGGCCAAGGAGAAGGACAGGAAGGAGGCAGCGGTCCAGGAGTACGACGCCAGGCCTGCGACTCTGTGCCAGCTCCGCGGCGAGGAGAGCGGGACCCTGGCCCGCAGCCACCGCAGGTGCCCTGCCTGGGGGGGCTGGAGGCAAGGTCGCAGCCCCGCCGACTTGCTGCGAGCTGCCGAGTTGGTGGCAGAGTTCGACGGCGAGGTCGACTTCCTGCACGCCGCCGCGGCGGAGCCCGCCCCTGGGACAGGTGGATTCAGCCCGCCGAAGTCGCAGTCCCAGGGGCGCGGCGAGTTCGGGAAGTTGCACGACGCGGAGGTGCGCGGGCCTGTCGTGTCAGCGGCTGGCAACATGCAGATGCCCGTCGCGGAGGCTGGCGTTGGCGACGGCGAGGCGCAGGCCGCGGCGGCTGACGGCGGCCCCCTCCTCGCCACGGCGGCGGCCCTGGCAGCAGTGGCGGCAGCGGCCGCTTCCTGCTCGCGGCCGTCGCCCGCGAGGCGCCGCCCCGCCTCGGCCGATAGGCCCGCGGAGGTGCTGCGCCGAGCACCCCAGCGCAGGGTGCAGGAGCAGTCGAGGCGCCGCGAGGCCTCGGCGCCCGCGCCCAGCCCGCGGCGGGCGGCGGCAGCGGCGGCTTGCAGCGGCCCAGCCCCTGAGGTGGCGGCTGTTGCGGCCCGCCCTGCGGGATTGAGGGTCTACGGCCACCTCATGCGGGGGTCGCGCGTCGAGGGCAACGGCTCCGAGCCCCCCCCTGGTCTGCTCAGCGTGCTGGGGGTGCTGCCGCGCACCCCAGGTGCGCGCATCGCGGCCTGGCCGTGCCGTGTGGGGCCAGCGCGGCGGCTGG